TCATTAGATGTCACAAAACATTTTCTGCTTACTGTTATTTCTAACAGTGCCTGGCTTTCTCTATTGAATGTCTCCCTTAATTCTATGTTTGGGTTCATGGATGTCCCTGGATGAATGGAGCACTCACAAGTACAAAGCGCCAGGTGTTCGAATAGTGGGGGAATATTGGGATTTGGCTTCCGGACATGGAACTGGATTAGAATAGGATGAAGGCAGCCAAGTGCTGTTTGCTGTTTTACATGGACCAGGATGATTAAAGCATCATCAGAGTACATCTGTAGGTAAATCCACTACTGTGTAACTTCATATTAAAATAAATATTTAAATACATACATAAGTAAATAAATAAATAAATAAATAAATAAATAAATAAATAAATAAATAAATAGGTAAATGTCAGCACTCTTTGACATCAGAGATACAAAACATGAATTTCTGCATAACCATATTTTGGCTGTTTTACCCTCCTCCCTGTTCATCTGTATTTGAACCATATCCAAAGCACCCAGCAGGCCACCTGCAGGGAAGGCGGCACCACAGCGGGGCGTAAAAGTCTACTGACGCTGCCTTGGTCCTTGCTCGTTTATTTCCAAACTTATTTTGGTTTTGTGCTGTCAGACAGCAGCAGGATTCATACAGAGCACCACAATACCTGCAGGCTACGAGCTACTGGTCAAACAGCAAAGCTCCAACTGTCATCATGCACTGTGAGTTACCCTCACTGAAAGGCCTACAAGTTGTATTTGTTAAACAGAGCAGCCAGTTAGATGGCAAATCCCCATATAATCCTACTGTCTATGTACACGCTAAGTGAACTGTGAAAGTGCTGTGGTCCATTTTCCAAGCACAGTGTCACTGAGGCTGCTTTTAAATGAAGAGATGGTGTCGAACATTAGGCCTGGGGACCAGACTCAAAACCTCCACCTCCAAAGAAATGTCAGCAGGAGTCCGAACTGCAAAAGAAGCGCGTATTCTCTGAAAAGTGGTTACAGGAGGTGAGCTGGCTTCAAACAAATGATGAA